GGAGCAAGTTATGAAGGGATGGTTTGTGGTATCCACAGGAGGCGTGGACATGGGGGTGGGGGGCTGCAGCTGGTGTTCTGTTGCCTGAGGGACTGGTCTGTTCGGGGGAACAGAGAGCCACAGTAGTCCTTTTCCAGTCAAAACCAGAGGCAAGGCAACACCTGTGCCTCCTCCAGATAGTAACACTGCTTAACTGAACGGCGAAGAACTCGCTCGCACATTTTTTGGCGTCAATCTTACACAGTCCATCCATCTACCATCCACTATCAACCATGACAACACACAGCATAGGGTTTTTTTGTTTGCTTGTTTTTGCTATATGCTCTCTCTCTATATTTCTGACTGGTCCAGAACTCACTCTGTAGACCAGCCTGAGCTCAAACTCACAATGATCCAGCTGCCTCTGCCTCTCAAGTGATAGTACTGAAGCTGTGTTTACCATTTTTTTAAATCAATGTCTTCTACTTTTTAGTATACACAGCAAATATATTATTATTAATGCTATGTATATTTTTTTTCTGATTTTTCAAGCTAGGGTTTCTCTGTGTAGCCTTAGTTGTCCAGGAACTCACTCTGTAGACCAGGTTGGCTTTGAACTCACAGAGATCCGCTTGCCTCTGCCTCCCAGGTACTGGGATTTGCTGCCCAAACCCTTTTTATGTCTATATGTCTGTTGCCTACATGTGTGTCTGTGCACCATCTGCATGCTGGTGCCCTTGGAGGCCGAAGAGGACGTTGGATGCATTGGAACTGGAGTCACGGTGGTTGAGCTGCTGTGAGTGCTGGGAAGTAAAATGGAGCAGCCAGCACCTGCCTGACGATGGTGGTGCACACCTTTAATCCCAGCACTCGGGAGGCAGAGGTAGGCGGATCTCTGTGAGTTCGAGGCCAGCCTGGTCTACAAGAGCGAGTTCTAGTACAGGCTCCAGGAGAAAGCTGCAGAGAAATCTTGTTTTGAAAAACAAACAAAAATGAAACAAAACAAACAAAAATAAAGCGCAGACAGTGCTCTTAACACTGAGCCTACTTTCCAGCCCCACATAAGATCTGAGACAGTGTTTTATAAGTTTAGTGCTGTACACATGTGCTCTTAGTAGTGGGAAGGTTGATGCAGGAGGATTGTTGCAAGTTCAAGGCTACTATAGAGGTCCTTGAGAGGAGAGATAGAGAGATAGGTAGGTAGGTAGAAAGAGAACACTTTCAATTTGTTGCCCAGGCTGGTTTTGAACTCCTGGCTTCAAGTGATCCTCCTCCCTCGGTGTCCTAAGTGTCTGTGACTGCAGGTGTGTCCCACCTTGCCCTGTATGATGTGCACTGTGGGATGACAGATCTCTAGAACTGTTTCTTCTTGCCTGGCTGTGAGCCTGTATCCATTGATCAGCAACCCTGTTTTAGTTTTATTTTTTTGGAGGGGGTGGTTCGAGACAGGGTTTCTCTGTGTAACAGTCCTGGCTGTCCTGGAACTCACTCTGTAGACTAGACTGGCCTCGAACACAGAGATCTGCTTGCCTCTGCTTCAGCTTCCTGGGATTAAAGGCGTGCACCGCCACCTCCTGCACTACCACCTCCAGCTCTGCATCTTTATCAACACTTCTCCTCCTCTTCCTCCTTTTGTAGTACTGGGATTTGAACCTACAGTCTCAACTGTGCCAAACAAGTGCTATCCAACAGAACAATCGTCTCCAGTTTGTGTCTTTTTTTAACCTCATGAGGCAGGTTCTCTGCTCTCCCACATCACATCCCACCTACCTGGTTCCCTTTCTTCCCTTAGCTCCCTCCTCTGTTTACCTATCACATTTTTGTGTGTGTGTGTGTGTTTTTTTTTTTTTTTTTTGGTGTTTTTTGTTAGGGTTTTTTTTTTGTT